GGTGGGAGGGAGGGAGGGAGGGAAGGAAGGAAGGAAGGAAGGAAGGAGGGAGGGAGGGGAGGGAGGGAGGGAGGGAGGGAGGGAGGGAAGGAAGGAAGGAAGGAAGGAAGGAAGGAAGGAAGGAAGGAAGGAAGGAAGGAAGGAAGGAAGGAAGGAAGGAAGGGAGGGGTTTGGGTTGATTTAATATGCAGAAGCCAAGGGAGGAAAGATTTCTAAAAGAGAGGTACTGGTCGATGGAGTTAAAGCTTTAGAAAAAGATGAAAAATATCCCTGGATTTGGCAAGAGAAAGTCCTTAACAAGCTCAATGTGAATGGTTTCAGTGAGCTGTGACTCAAATGGGAGGTGAAGGCCAGGACTGGTAAGCAGGAATGGATACCAATGTTTCTGCCTGCCCAGCATCCATTTCGCCATCCTCTGTAATGGCTCCCTGACTTTTCACTGAGTAACCATTACCCATGTCCTACTGGATATGTTTCCATGAGACTGTCAGGGCACCCAGCTGTCCAAAGGCCAAGGGGAGTCATGGGAGGCCGCATGACTCAAGCTGCACCAGTCAGAAGCTCTCCCTGGAATCTGAGTCATAAGCTTATATGACAGGAGTCCCAAATCTGATTGGAGCTGATTCATGCTGCACCCAGGCCCCTGAGGAAGCTGCCATTCCTTCCTGCTACTTCAATCCCTGCTACCACCCTGGTTCTAGTCTTTTCTGAAGCCTGCTTCTTTAGTCTCTCCCTGTTGTGAGTGCCACCTTAATCTCCTTCTAACAAATATCTTTCTTGCTTAAGTTAGCAAGAGTCGGTCTCTGCTGTTGCAGCCAAAGAACCCTAACTCATACTTGTCCTTTCAAGAATTTGGGATGAGATGAGGAGGACAACGAAGGACAAGCATGAGGGCAGCAAAGCCTGGAGGAAAGTAGAGGTTTTTTTGAGTGGGAGGGAGTTTGTTTTGTTTCTTTGTTTTTGAGAGAGGGTCTCACTCTGTCACTCAGGCTGGAGTGCAGTGGTGGGATCATGGCTCACTGTAGCCTCAATCTCCCAGGTTTCAGCAATCCTCCTCCCTCAGCCTCCTGAGTAGCTGGGACTACAACAGGTGCACATCACCACACTTGGCTAATTTTTTTTATTTTTAGCAGAGACAAGGTCTCACTATATTGCCCATTCTGGTCTCGAACTCTTGGCTCAAGCAATCCTCCCGCCTCGGCCTCCCGAAGTGCTGGGATTATGGGCATGAGCCACTCTGCACCTGGTGAGTTTGTTTATTTTAGTTAGTTTCTAAGGTAGTAGAAATGTGGATGTATCTATAGGTTGAGAAGGAGGACAGAGAAGAGGGAAGGTCTGAAAACAGGGAAGGGAAGAAAGATGGAGTAAGAGTCTGGGAGTCATGTTGGGATGAGCAATATACAGGTGGAGAGGGGGACCAGAACAGAGCCTGGAGAAGTGAAATAAATATGGGTGTGGCTACATGAAGGGTTGTTTCATTCGTTTAAAAAAATCTATATATATATGCATAAAAACCTATATATATATATATATATATATAGGTTTGATAACAAGCTGAAGGAAATCATGGTTCATTTGCCTCAATTTTATTTGTTGAGACTGAAAGGGTAGGGTTGTAAGGATACTCAAGGGAGAAGGGTAAGTGAGAGAGGGGGCTAGCTAAGAAGTTTGAGTGACACTTGTATGTGCTACTCTGCCACCATTTTTCCCTGAGCCAAGTTCTACCACCTGGAGCACAGTCAGGGATATGCTGGCAGATGAGGCAGAGGCTGGAGGTATAAGGGGCTGGGCACAATGGCTCACACCTGTAATCCCAGCACTTCGTGAGGCCGAGGCAGGCTGATCACTCGAGGTCAGGAATTGGAGACCAGCCTGCATAAGATGGTGAAACCCGGTCTCTACTAAAAATACAAAAATTATAAAGATTATTCGTGGCCGGGTGCGGTGGCTCACGCCTGTAATCCCAGCACTTTGGGAGGCCGAGGCGGGCAGATCACAAGGTCAGATCGCATCCTGGCTAACACAGTGAAACCCCGTCTCTGTTAAAAATACGAAAAATTAGCCGGGCGTGGTGGCGGTGCCTATAGTCCCAGCTACTCGGGAGGCTGAGGCAGGAGAATGGCGGGAACCTGGGAGGCGGAGCTTGCAGTGAGCTGAGTTCGCACCACCACACTCCAGCCTGGGCAACAGAGCCAGACTCCGTCTCAAAAAAAAAAAAAAAAAAAAAAAGATTATTCGTATGACTGCTGTTAGTGAGATAAATGAGCCTACAGATAAGATAATATTTCACGCAGTATATGCATCAGGATAGTCGGAGTAACGTCGAGGCATACCGGGTAGGCCAAGGAAGTACTGTGGGAAAAAAGGTTAAATTAACACCTATAAATACAATGGTGAGGTGGATTTTAGCGTAGGTCTGGCAAAGTCTGTAACCTGAAAAAAGGGGGAACCAGTGGATACCTCCTGTGATCCCAGCTACTTGGGAGGCTGAGGCACAAGAATCGCTTGAACCCAAGAGGTGGAGGTTGCAGTGAACTGAGTTCGCGCCACTGCACTCCACACTCCAGCCTCAAATAAATAAATAAATAAATAAACAAACAAATAGAAGAAAAGGAAGAAGGAGGAGGAGGAGGAGAAGGTGGCGGCGGTGGCTAGGGTTGTAGGGGAATTGAGAGCGTATGCTGGTCATTTTCCATTTGCCCTCCAGGTCTACCCTCCATCCTTCTCTATCCATATGGGTGGCATCATCTGACCCCCCCTTGCTCTCTGACTTCTAATTAGGTTCCTCCCTAAGAGAAGCACCAGCAGGACATCAGAGAACAGAAAAAGAAAGCACTCTGGACACTTCTCCTCCAACTCCCAGCTCTGTGTCAGCACCTTGGTTCTGGCAGTGGCTGTGCCCCTCCACAACTCCGGCTCCTCTCAGGCATGTTCTATGACTCTCACAGCACTCCAGTAACACCATTCCTTTCCTCACTCCTTCAGACCTAAGGGTGGTCACAGCTTCCTGCTGCCTTCACCTCCCTTGTTGGTTACCTCAACCCTGCCCACACCTCTGCAAATAGTCCCTTCATTAAATTATCTTCAAAATCCCAGCTGTGGTGCCTTCTGTTTCCTGCTGGGACCTTGACTATTAAGAGAGCTAGTGAAAGAGCTCAGATGGTCCAATATGAGACTCTGGCTGGGCAAGGAAGGGAGAGAAGCCAGGAGGGGTCTGACAGACTGGCAGAAAACAGAGGGATCAAGGGAGTAGAGCTCTCTTTGAGTTGACGCCACAGGTGTGATGGCAGTGAGGGGCTGTCAGACCTGAAAGGCAGGTGCTGGGATCAGAGAGCAGGATGCTGGATTCTGAACATGGAAAAGAGTACTGGGTTGTGGTTAAAATCAGGGATTTTTTTATTTGGAACTCAGAAAGTCATGTGTTAGAATCCCGCTCTGCCATTTTCCTAAATGTGTCACCCAGGCAAGTGACTTCACCTTCCTGAGTGTCTATCCTCATCTGTAAAATGAGAATAATAACACCAGCCTTCCAGGTTTGTCTCAGCGGTAAACACATGTAAAGTATTCGGCAAAGTGCCTGGCATGTGGTATAATTGCTCTGTAAATGTTCACTATGTATGTTACACTTCCCGGTAATGACTAAATCCAAGGTGTGGTCATGCGAGTGGATGACTAAAGTGGTATGAAGGTCACCAGAAATGAAGTGGAAAGAGACTGTGAGGCTAGAACATTACAAGGATGGATTATCAGCGACAGTTAAATATCCCAGCAGGAGAACATGGGTTGGGGTGGAGAGGAAGTGTGTGAGCAGATGCTACTCTTCAGGAACGAGGTGAAGTGACCACGGAGTCAATGGATGTCAACAAGGAAGTGGGACAGAGATTGGTGGAACCTGAGGACATAAGTCTCAAGGAAATCCAGGTCCTGTGAAGCCAGGTTAGAGTTGGTGTCTTCCTCATCTGACCGCCACAGTCCCTCTTACATCCCTTTGAGATGTCCCCAGTGATAATGTTCCCTACTAAGCCAGAGTTTATCAAGGGAGGGGTTGTATCTAACTCATCTTGTAGTACCTAGGACAGGTGTTTAAGCTGGTAAATGTTTGTTGAATGACTTGGTGTTTGAGGGAAACAGAAAAGTCTACCTCTGCATCTTATTTACCCTTGGTAATAATAATTCTCTTTACTTTAAGTAACCTAACGCATCTTTTAAACCTCTTATTCAATTTAAACAAGTATTTCCTGAGACCTTCATACATGCTATTCCATCTACCTGAAATACCCTCACCCACTCTATACACTCAAAGACCTCCTACTCCTCATTCAAGAAAAAGCAGAATTTAATCATTAGGAAGAAGAAAAGTAAACCACAATGATAAACCGCTACACATTCATCAGATCAGCAAAACCAAAGCATCTGACAACACATAGTATTGGTGACGATGTGAAGCAAAGAGAGCTCTCATTCAGTGCTGGTGGGAGAGTAAACTGGTACTGACACTTCAGAAAAATAATTGGAGAGTGTAGTGTGCAGAAAAATTTCCTGCAAAAGATGTCCAGACTGAAGTGCTGGAACCTGTGAATGTTACCTTAAATGGCAAAAAGGATTTTGCAGATGTAATTAAAGATTGTGAAATGAAGAGATTATACTGGATTATTTGGGTGGGCCCTTAAAGCAATCATATATATCCTTCTAAGAGGGAGGCAGAGGAACATTTGACACAGACAGAAGAGGAAAAGGCACCACAGAAGCAGAGCTTGGAGTGATGCTGCCACAAGCCAAGGAATGGTGGTGGCTACCAGAAGCTGGGATAGGCAAGGAACACATTCTCCCCTAAGCCTCAGGAGGGAGTGCAGTCCTGCTGGCACCTTAATTTCAGTCTAGTGGAACTGGTTGTAGATTTCTGGCTTCCTGAACTGTGAGAAAATACATTTATATTCTGTTAAGCCACCATGTTTATGGTAATTTGTTGTAGCAGTTACCGGAAACAGTATAGACAGCCAAACTCATGCATACCCATACCTCTGTCCAGCAATTCTACTTCCAGGTATATCCCTACAGAAACACAAGCATTTGTTCACCAAAAACCATGCACAGGAATGTTCACAGCAGCATTATTCATAACAGCCTCAAACTGGAAACAACCCAAATGTCCATCAGCAGTTCAGTGCATGAACTCATTGTGTATATTCATACAATGGAGTACCATGATACACCAATAAATGAGTCAACTACAGACAAGGAAAACATAAAAGAATCTCACAAACGCTGGGCAAATGAAACCAGACACAACAGCAAACATATGGTATGATTCCATTTATATTATGTTCAAGAAGAGATAAAATTACCTCTATCACTGAGTGATGAAAACTAGAAAATTGAAGAAAAACAAGGCAGTGGCTCATGCCTGTAATTCCAGCACTGTAGGAGGCTGAGGGGGATCGCTTGAGCCCAGGAGTTCAAGACCAGCCTGGGCAACATAGTGAGACCCTGTCCCTACTAAAAAGAAAAAAATTAGCCAGGTGTGGTGGTGTGTGCCTGTAGTCTCAGCTACTCAAGAGGCTGAGGTGGATTGCTTGAGCCCAGGAGTTTGAGGTTACAATGAGTCGTGATCGTGCTGCTGCACTCCATTCTGGGTGACAGAGCAAGACCCTGTTGAAAGAAGCAAAAGAAAAAGAGAAAGAGAAAGAAAGAAATGAAGGAAGAAGGTGAGGGAGAGAAGAAAGAAGGAAGAAAAGAAGGAAAGAAGAAAGAACGGAAGAGGTTGGGTGCCGTGTCTCATGCCTGTAATCCCAATACTTTGGGAGGCTGAGGTTGGAGGATCACCTTAAGTCAGGAGTTTGAGACCAGTCTAGCTAACATGGTGAAACCCCGTCTCTACTAAAAATATAAAACTTAGCCAGGCATGGTGGCATGAGCCTGTAATCCTAACTACCAGGGAGGCTGAAGCAGAAGGATCTCTTGAACCTGAGAGGCAGAAGTTGCAGTCAGCCGAGATTGTGCCATTGAACTCCAGCCTGGGCAACAGAGTGAGACCTTGTCTTGAAAAAAAAGGAAGGAGAGGGAGGGAGGAAGAAAGGCAGGAAGGGAGGAAGGGAAGGTGGAAAGAAGGAAAAAAGGAAGGAAGGAAGGAAGGAAGGAAGGAAGGAAGGAAGGAAGGAAGGAAGGAAGGGAGGGAGGGAGGGAGGGAGGGAGGGAGGGAGGGAGGGAAGGAAGAAAGGGAGGGAGGGAAGGAAGGGAAGGAAATGGAGGGAGGGAGGAAGAAAGGGAGGGAGGGAGGGACGAAAGGAGGGAGGGAGGGAGGGACGAAAGGAGGGAGGGAGGGAGGGAGAAAAAGAGGGAGGAAGGAAAGAAGGGAGGGAGGGAGGAAGGGAGAGAGAGAGGAAGGAGAGCTTGACAGAAAGGTAGGCAGGTGGCTCCCTGATGTCCCCCAGAGTCCCTGCTGCTAATGTATTTCTTGGTATGGGTGACACAGGAAAGGAGGGAGGTTCCCTCCTTCATTTTCTTCCCTTCCTTCCCTCCCTCCCTCCCTTTCTTCCTTCCTTCTTTCCTTTTTTCCTTCCTTCTACCTTCCCTCCCTCCCTCCCTTCCTCCCTTTCTTCTTCCCTCCCACGCCTTTCTTTCTTTTTTTTTTTTTTAAGACATGGTCTCACTCTGTTGCCCAGGCTGGAGTTCGGTGGCACAATCTTGGCTCACTGCAACCTCCACCTCTCAGGTTCCAGAGATCCTTCTGCTTCAGCCTCCCTGGTAGCTGGGATTACAGGCATGTGCCACCATGCCTGGCTAGTTTTTATATTTTCAGCAGAGACGGGGTTTCACCAAGTTGGCCGGGCTGGTCTTGAACTTCTGAACTCAGGTAATATGAACTGTTTCTGTCCTGCGCTTTTAGGAATGTTATTTCACAACTAAATATATCTGGGCGGTGGCGGTGGTGATTCCTAACAGAACGCACAGGGAGCTTCCCGGTGCCCTCAGCGTCCTCTGGGCTCTGACCCGCTGTGTCTGCATCATTGCAGGCACCCTCCAGAGCCAGCGCCCAGGCCAGAGTCCCCTCAGGGACCTGTGGGCCATTTGCTGCTGGCCCAGGCATGCTGGGCCTGTCTCAGGTGACCTCCTTGTGTGGTAACTGTCGGGTTCCAGGCCTGTGTCCCCACCTGTGCCTGCTCCCCACGCGGAAAAACGTGGAAACCATGGCTGCTGACCCTCGAATGGGTGATGGTGGCACGTTCCCACTTACCTTTTACTCTGTCCGTCTGACTATATCCCATTCAGGCACATCCCGAGACCTTTGCAAGGGCTGAGAAATTCTAGCAAAGGCTGTCCCGTGCCCGGAATGCCCCGTCACTCTGCTGAACTCCCACTCAGCCCGCATGGGCCAGCTCAAGGTTCCGCTCCTCTGTGGGGCCACGCCGGCCTTCTACATCTCCCGTGGGCTCCGATCTCCCGTAGCTGCACGCCCTGTCCCCACACGATCCTGTTTCTCTACCCCCGAAGCTCCCTGGGTTGTCCTCCGGGCTCAGATCTGACCCACCTCTGAGCCCCGAGGGTCTGTCCCTCACCCCCGCGCGCCTCGCCGGCACTCTGACTCACTCAGGCGAGCTCCACGGCGCTTGCGCTCAGGGAGGCTCTGGAGGCCCGAGCCTCTGCCTCGCGGTTCCCGCCAAATGCACTTCCCCAGCGCAGATCCCTTCAGCCTCAATGTTGGCCCTCCTGACTTCCGGCAGGCACGTGCTGGGCGGGTCCGGGGCTGAACAGGGCTGGGGGGAGGTGGCCCAGAGAATGGGGTGGGGCCAACAACGTGGAACGGAAGCAGGGGGCAGAGCCTGAAATGTGTCCAGCCTTGAGGTGGGAGCCGTATTCAAATGAGGCCAGGAGAAAAGCCAGGGGCTAGGGGCTCAAGGGAATGGCAGGTCCTAGAATTTAGCCCAGTAGTTGAGAGCCCAAACAAACACAGGTAACCCCACCTAGAGGACAGCCTCAGCCTTAGGTCATGAAAACGGAAGGGTCAGGGCAAAGGAGTGGAATCCCCACCTCATTCCTCACCTAACTGCAGTCACTAAGGTACTCTCCATCTCAATGCTCCCACCTCTCAGGTAAATCACCTGCCCTCTCTCAGTTCATTTCACATCAAACATGGCTTTAAAATCCCACAGCGTGGCTGAGGGCTAAATAGACCTTGAGTAGGTGTCCGGTGGAACTCAGCTTCCTCCCAGAGAGGGTCAAGGCAGAACCTGGGATCACATAGCAGCTGGCTGGGCCAGGCCTTGGCTCCTGGATGGGACTCACGACTAGACTTTGCCACTCCCCTCCTGCACATTAAGACAGGTTGAAGTTCCAGGACAGGCTCCAAGATGTGGGCAGTGGCACCCCTCCCTGCAGGAAAGGCAGCCTTGGAAATCCCTGCCACCCTACCCCCCACTCCCCACCCCTGAGTCCCTTCCCCCTCAGGAAGGAAAACCCTGAGTATTGAGTAAGAGAAACTTGAGTTCCTGAGCCCTTACACGAGGGGTGGGGGAAGGGCAAGAAGCCACAACCTCAGCTGGAGCCACGAAACAGCAGGAGGGTGTTTGGCCTCTGAAAGAAGAGACCCAGGTGAAGAGAAGGTGAATGTCCAGAAGGTGTGACCAGTAGGGAGCCACGTGGAGATGAATTCCAGGCAGAGAACACCTGGCTGCCTATCTTTTCCATTTCCAAAGCTTAGGGGCTCCATCAGCCTTGGGTGTAGCTGGCCTACCTCACGGAACAAATTAAAAATCCTGGGAGCAGCTGGGCGCGGTGGCTCATGCCTGTAATCCCAGCGCTTTGGGAGGCCAAAGTGGGCAGATTACAAGGTAAGGAGATCGGGACCATCCTGGCTAACACAGTGAAACCCCGTCTCTACTAAAAATACAAAAAATTAGCCAGGTGTGGTGGCGGGCACCTGTAGTCCCAGCTACTCAGGAGGCTGAGGCAGAAGAATGGCGTGAACCCGGGAGGCGGAGTTTGCAGTGAGCCGAGATCGTGTCACCGCACACTAGCCTAGGCGACAGCGCGAGACTCTGTCTCAAAAAAAAAAAAAAAAAAAAATTCTGGGAGGCCCTAAGGACATATAGGAGCAAAGCATGTGTGAAGATGGTTGGAAGAGTTTCTGACTCCTAGGCAATATTCTATTTCTTCCTTTGACAGATGAGAAGACTGAGGCCCGGAGGGAAGACAAGCATGTGGTTATCAGCTGGCATATGGTCCAGCATCCTGTCCAAGCTCCAGCCCCCAACACTGGGCCAGGAACACTCCTTCCCCCAGCCTACTGTGGTCCAAAAGCTGGGCGTGGTGACAGGCACCTGTTGTCCCAGCTACTTGGGAGGCTGAGGCGGGAGGATCGCTTGAGCCCAGGAGTTTGACACTGGCCTGGGAAACATAGCAAGACCCTCAACTCTAAAAAAATTTTAAATTAAATAATAAATAAAGAGTCCTAGAGAGGCCGATGCCCACCTATGCCCTTTCCAGGGCAGTTTAATTGGTATCATTTGTAAAAGGTCTTTTCCATTACCCCCAAAGCCTTTGCATTCCCTTTCTAAGAAGGCAGCTGTATACTGGTTTTGGCCCCATGTGCAACAGTAGGCCTTGGTCTGATGCTGCCACAACACTCCCATGTGACACTCCAGGTGACAGTCCAAGTGCAAGTCTATGTCCAGCTCTGGGCAGCAGGGGGAAGGTGAGGAGAGTCAGGTCTGTAAATTGAAGCTGGGCAGGGCCCTGGCTGGCTGGAGATGTGTGGGCAAGGTGAGCAGGCCCCATGTGCACCCCAGCTCCAGTGCCCACTGGTGTGGCTGAAGCCCAGGTTGGGTGTGGTCAAATTAGAGGTCCTGAGAGAGAAGCCCTTAGGCCAAAGTGTGTGCTGGGAAGCAGGCCAGGGCAGAGGCCCAGGGAAGATCTCAGCAGGGGCAGTGTGAGCATGAGCAAGTGTGTGCACCTGTGAGCGTGCAGACAGCCCAAGATCAGAGATACAATGTGCAGGGGCCTTTAGGTGAGTGTGTGGCTGTGCCCCTCCCTTCTGAGATACAGGCCCAGCCCCTGCCTCCAGAGGCTAAGGGAGCACACCTGGGGGTAGGAGGAGTTTGGGAAGGAAACTCAGCTGGAAATGGTTTAGGCCTCAGAGCCCACATCCTGTGGGAGGGGCTGTCAAGGGGCCTGCTGTCCTGGTCCTGTTGAAGTCCTCAGAGATGCTGGAGTGACAGTCCTCTAGGGGTAGAGATGGTCGTCTTCCCAGGAGAAGGTGGCCCAGAGACTCAGAGGTGGGATCAGTCCTGCCAGTCCTGGATCAGGAGGCCTCTGTCGGGCGCCGCCCCCCTTCCTCCTCCATCAGCAACAGGCGGCGCCGGCCAGCCTCATAGTCAGCCTCATCCACACTGACCAGCAGGCGAACAGCCTCCCGGCCCACAGCCTCTCGCAGGGCCTCAGTCAGGAACACGCCCCGCAGGGCCTGCAGCAGGGCGCCACTCAGGTAGTCACCCCAGAAGGCGTCCAGATAAGAGAGCTCTGAGAACTTGATGTCACAAACCACGGAGCCCAGGTCCCTTGAGCGCAGCACCGCGGTGGCCTGACCAAACACATCCAGCTGCCGAGCCAGCGCCTGGGGCCGCCGGGATGCCACGCCCTGCTCCAAGGCTGGCCCATGCTCGCAGTACTCCGCTCGAACCCGGAGCCGGATGTCTGCAGGGGAAGGAGGGATTTGTCAGGGAGGGGGCCAACACTAGACACAGTGCTTACGGGGACCACCACCACCCTTCCTCCCTCCAACCTTCTCCACCCACTTCCGGTAGCCACACCCTAGTCCTGACACAGCCTCCCCGGCTCTCTGGGTTCCCTGACCAAGTACGTCCTCCTCCTCTCCAGCCCCACCACCTCTTCACTGCTCCAACAAGCCTCTCCCCTGCCAGGGGTGCTCTTTCCCTTGATCTGCACAACACTTGCTCCCTCTCTTCCTGCAGGTCTTTGATCAAAAGCCACCTTTCCAACAAGGCCCACCTAGACCAACCTATTTACAACTGTAACCACCCACCCAGCCCTCTCCACAGCACACCAGGTCCCACACCCTGCTCCATTTTTGTTCAAGGCACTTATCACCTTCTAACCTCCTCTGTCAGTTACTATCTGGTCATCATCTGTCTCTACACTCAGTGTGGAGAGACAGATGACAGGAAGGAAAGGGTTTTTGTCTGTTTTGTTCACTTGTGTAACTGTGGCACATAGTGGAGGCTCAATATGTATTTGTGAAGAACTAATGCATGAACTAAAGGACTTGCCTTTAGGCAACCAGCCTCACACCCAGCCCCCAAATAATGAGATTCACATGGTGCCAGCCACATCCCCAACCCTCCCACGCACCTGAGCCACCACTGCGGAGGCGCAGGGTCCTGACCAGGCCAGGGAGGCTTGCGGCTGGACCTGTGCTGGCTCTACTGGGAGTCAGGTGCTCTCTTGCCACAGAGCTGCTAAGATGATGGGCTGGAAGCCCAGAGCTGCTGGGGGCCACTGTGCCAAGAGGAGAGAAGGAAGCCTACATAGGGCCAGCCGCGGAGAGAAAAAGATTCCTGAGGTCATCACATTAGCCCATGATCGTAGCTGGATTTTCAGCTACACTCAACTCCCCTTTTTGCTAAAGCCAGTTTGAGTTGGTTTCTGTCACAGCTGTCCCCACATATGCCCAAATGAGGTGGCAGCTGTGCACAGGGGACAGGACACTGGACTTCTGAGGCTATCCTGTAATCATGAACTTCGCTTACCACCTCTCTTCCAGGATTTCTGAATTCCCACCCATCACCTGGGCTAGAGACAGTACCCCCATTCTCTCTACACACCCAGTGAGGCTGTCCTGAGGATTAGCTGTGAGCCAGAAATAGCAGCAGCCAACACTTTCAGAGTGCTGACTATCTGCCAGGCGCTACACCAAGTACTTGAATCACAGAAACTCATTTAACCTACAAATGACCCTGTGGGACAGGCCCTATTACCTCCAACTTACAGATGAAGAAATGGAGGCCAAGAGAAATGAAGTGACTCACCCAAGGTCACAAGGCCAGGCAATGGCAGTGCCTGACAGAGGTCATTTAACCTCCTATGTCCCTGAGAGTAGGCTCCTCAATCAATTAATGAAGTGGATTCCCACACAGGAGCCTTCAGCAGTGTGACCTGTGACAAGTCACAACCTCTCTGAGCATGGGTTCCTGCCTAAACAAGGGGACAATTCCTGCTGTGAGGAGCTGTTAAGAAGATTAAAAAGAGAGCAACGGATGGAAAGGAACAAGCTAACACTGCACACAGTGTCCAAGGGGTGCTCCTGGAATGGCAGCCACCAACCCTCTGATATGCCAATTACCTGACCCTTGGGGATGCAGTAGAATCAGCCCTATGGGGCAGGGGCCACCGTTAGCCCACTTGACAGATAAGGAAACGAGGCTCTAGGAGGGAACGTCTCATGCTGTGGCTCCCTTCAACTTTCATAGACCATGTCAGCCACTGAGCAGAAAAGAGAAGGCAGGGCGCCTGCTCCCCAAGACAACCTCATAGCCCTGCCCACTTCCTCCTCCCACCCCAAACCCTTCCTCTTTCTGGCTCTAGGGGAACCCCATCCTCTCCACTCAATGCCCAGGGAAGCCTGCCCGGCCTCAGCCCCCGGGCCCTCCTACGGAATTCAGGCCCAGCTGTCTCCATCCAAAGGACCAGGTCCTTGACTGAGTCCTTGACTCCAGTAAGCAACTGGCCATGACCTCAATCAATGTGGGTGGGAAAGCAGGGGGCTGGGAGGAGCAGCGCCTGTTCCAGGCCACACAGGGGTGGCTGGCCACAGAGGTAGGGCCAGGTGGCAGAGTCCTACAGACCTTGAGGTGAGTCCCAGCTCTGCCACTCTCTAAGCTGTGGGGCCTTGGGCATGTGACCTCACCTCTCTGAACCTGTTTCCCCAACTGACACACAAACAAACAAGAGGTCCCTGCCGCACATTGAGGTCACAAGGATTAAATGAGGCAACTCGTAAAATGCTTGATTCACAGCCCTACGACAAAGAAGGCTCCCAGAAACAGGAACTGTAATTTCGACACCCACCTCCCCACCACTATGGCCCTCACCCAGGCCTTCACCTCTCTCATGGGTCCCTAAGCCAACCTCCTCCTTGGACTCCTCCAAACCCTCCCATGTCCCCCCATACCCTGCACTCGAGTCACAAGAAAATGTTGCCAACAAGAGCCTTACTTAGAAAATGACCTGTCTACCTCCTCCATCCAGAACACTTGCCAAGGCTCAGCTAGTGAGTTGAGTCCTCTCTCAGTTCGTCCTTCTCCCCAGCGTGGACCTCTGGTATAAATTCTCAATTCACCCAGAGCCCCTACCATGTCACAGTGGACAGGGGAAAGGGACAAGGCCAGAGCAGATCTCTGTGCCCCCGTTCAATCTTTTTTTTTTTTTTTTTTTGAGACGGAGTCTCGCTCTGTTGCCCAAGCTGGAGTGCAGTGGCATGAACTTGGCTCACTGCAAGCTCCGCCTCGTGGGTTCATGCCATTCTCCTGCCTCAGCCACCGGAGTAGCTGGGACTACAGGTGCCCGCCACTGCGACCGGTTAATTTTTTTGTATTTTTGGTAGAGACGGGGGTTTCACTGTGTTAGCCAGGATGGTCTTGATCTCTTGACCTTGTGATCCGCCCGCCTCGGCCTCCCAAAATGCTGGGATTACAGGCGTGAGCCACCGCACCCGGCCTCAATCTCTTATTCAACAGATATTTAATGAATGCCAGGCATGCTACGGTGACACGAGGGCCCTGCCACAAGTGGGACGGGGAGACATGTAACCCACAGTTAGGAAGCACTCCCCACAAGCCAGGCTCTACTCAAGGGCTTTCCTCTCTCAGCCCATCTAATCCTCAGAGCACTTCATCAGCCCCGTTTACAGATGAGCAAATCCTTCAGCAGACCACACTCCCACCTCTGAGCTGGAAAGCATGATCATGGTGCACAGGGAAAAGACAAGGAGGTGCCACCAGGCAATAGGAGAAGGCGAGCCTTCTCTGAGCCTCTGCTCCACCCTTAGCACCCAATCATGTGCTTTACCCCTCCCCAAAATAATCACAACAGGTGACACCTGCATATAGCTTTTACTATGGGCTGGCACAATACTACATACTTCACATCTGCCGACCCCTTTGATTGTCCCCACAACCTTATGAGGTGATGCTGTTATTATCCCTTTTCTGCAGATGGGGAAATTGAGGCACACAAGTTGAGTCACCTGCCTAAGGCCAGCAGACAGGAAATGGCAGAGCTGGAATTTTACCTGAAGTATTGGTTCCTGCATCTGCGCTCTTAACTACCCCATCCTGTTTGCTACCTCACACAGAACCATACACATCAAATACACAACTAAAAGACATCTGAGGGCCAGCAGAGAAAATTAGACAGGGCAAGTTATAGTTTAGATTGAAAGGATCAGAGAGGATCTCTCTAGAAAATGACATCTGAAGTAAAATGTGAAGGAGGACAAGTAGGTTTAGAAAGAAAAACAGGAGAGAAAAAAAGAATGGCATTCTCAGGAGAGATGAGCATTCATGGAAGTCCAGAGAGAAAATGAACTTCAGGCCTGCACAGGCTGAGGGGCCAGTGTGGCAGGAACGTGGAGGGGAGAAGGGCACTAGAGGAGAACTGGCAGCCAGGTCAGGGAGGCTGATCTCAATCCCAATCGCCAGCAGACTCAAGATTCTACGGCCTCTGGAGGTGACCACACCTCTCTGCACCTCGGTGGCCTCCTGTGTAAAACAAGGCTCCCCCTAGCAGCCGCCCACGTGGGGCTATTATGATAATTTGGGGCTGAATGCAAGGAAAGAGGGGAGGCCAGGAAGGCCAGGCATGCAGAGAGGACAAGAGGCAGGACCTGCTGACTTAGGGGCGACTCCAGCTGTGCTGTGAAGTGGCAGGTGGGTAGAAACAGGGCCACGGCAGCAGGTGGGGAAGGGTCACAAGTGGCTGTCCAGGATGAGAGCAGTAGACACGTAGAGAAGTGGAGGAACTGTCCAGTGTGGCCCTGAGCAGGGAGGCGGGAAGAGTACCCAGCACCATGTGTGCTGGACCGGGAGCTGGCTGCAATCTTTCCACTTTGGCAGCTGTGGGGAAAAGTTCCCTGTCCCTGGGAGGGCAGAGGCAGGTGCCACGCCTTCCTAGAGAGGAGAGCTGCTCCTGCTTCCTCCACGCAGGTGGGCCCGGCACCCTTTTGTCCCCCACCCCCACCTCACCAGTCTCTCTTCGGGGCAGATGGGACATCAAGTGAAATGGGCTACTCAGTGGGGGACCAGGGCGAAGTTCGAGGGAGCAGGTCCTGGGCTGGGTGTGTCTGGGAGCCCAGAGATGAACCTCATTCAAGTCCTCCCTCCAAGAGTTCCTAGTTGGGTGGTGATCAGGTTTGGATGTGAGTTCTCTCCCAATCTCATGCTGAAATGTGACTCCAATATTGTAGGTGGGGCCTGATGGAAGGTGTTGGATCATGGGGCTGGGTCCCTCATGAATCCCTTGATGACGAGTGAGTTCTTGCTCTGGTATTTCCCGTGACAGCTGGTTAAGAGTGTGGCAGCTCCCCCACCCCCCACCTCTTGCCATGTGACAAGCCAGCTCCCTTTGGCCTTCCACCATGAGTGGAAGCTTCCGGAGGTCCTCAACAGAAGCAGATGCTG